ATTGGCCCGTCACAGCTGGGTACGAGCCAGTAAAAACTGACCGGCAGTATTGTGACCTCTCCCTCTATACTCGGAATGTTTTCAATATGCTTTTCACCTATTTCACTTAGCTCAACTCTGTGGTACATGCTAACCAGGCAGCTGTGTTCACTTTCTAAACCCAAATCTTATCAGCACACGGATTCAGATTTAAAGCCAGATTTGTGCAGGAGATGTATCCTATACATATATATATATATTTATATTTTTCCGGGCGTTGCGCATTCCGCATTTTATTTCGTGACATGCTTTGGTCCCTCTCATTTCTTCACGGCTGGGTTCTACCCTAGTGCACCTCCCTTTTAAATATATACATTCTCTCGGTCACTTACGCTCTCCGCATACTTTCTGTCGCAACATGCTGTTCCCCTCTTCCCTTCTCGGCTGGGTATTAACCCAGACTGTCGAGTATCGCCCCTTTTGTTTCAGATTTGGTTGGTTTGGGCCTGCCGAAGGCTTGAAGTCTACGCCCACAATGGACAATTTGGCTCCGGTAAGGGTTGTTGGGCGCGGTTGTATCCACCGTTTAGACTATATGCGTCCGCATTCCGGACCAGGTTGAGGATCACACCCCCTGTTTCACCTACAAGGTGCTTTAAAATTGGGTGTCTAGCGTGTAGTCAGTCCCACATCAAGCAACCTACGCCTAAATAATATAAATAATACAAACCAAAATATCTGTTAACGGTGAAGCCCCGAAGCCCATAGTTCCGTGTTCACAGAAGCATTTCATGCCGTATCGACATTGAAAACTATTTATGAGCCATTTCGCATCCCTTCCTGAATCACTCCGCTCTCCACCAGCTCGATTGCAGCGCTTCTTCGGAAATTAATAATGTTTCCTGTTCACTATACACCTGCTCTCCGAACTCGGTTTTGCTCATTTTCTCTTGAACGGATATTCCAACTTCCAGTTTTGTCTTGCCATATGTTTTTCGTAAGACAACCGTTACATTGATTTGCTCTACATAACACATCACCCCCAATGCTCAGTCATATGACCTCGTCCGGTTTGTGTTTCCTTCTTCACCGCATTGCACATTTATCATATCTTTCGTACCCTTTTGGAATTTACGTTCTTACACTCTGTACTAGTAATTTTTGTTTCCACTGTCATTTTTACCTTTGTACCTTTGATCATGCAAACTAGCATGCTTCACGGGCTTCGTGAAATATACAATTATTATAATTATTATTATTAAACGGACTTCGATACGCTAAAGATGCTGGATCCGTAGGGTAGGTTGGTATAAGGGATGAATTGCTCACCTGACATCCCTCGCCGGACCTTACAATGCCCATTCAGACATCGTCAGGGAGCTATGGGTTGAGTATTTACCTGCCCATCTCAAGACCACGGTTACAGCCCTCCTAGAAGGGACACCACGTTCGATAGGGTAGATTCCATCGTAGATAAAATTATAGCCCTAGTCGGCAACGCCGAGCCTTCGCTCGTTGCCACGACATCTCATCAGTCTACCCCGCCACGTTCTGTACAGCGTGATAAATCACACTACCTTCATGAGTGCCTATCCTTCAACAATAGGGTCTGTATTTCATACTGAATTTTTTGAAAATCCTTCCGAACCCATAATGATTTATGGTGCAATAACTCTATCTGTGTGTTGCTCTTATATTGACATTTCACGATCATGAACACCACACATCATTATTTATCTGTTAACTCTATGCCCGGCACATTTGAATTTTGCGTGGTTTGAGAACGGGAGCGACTGTTTGCCTCTCTCTGGACATCTTATTTGGCTCGCTTGTTTGAGTGCTTTTGGCCGCATATTTGAGGTTTGCTTTATTGTACACATTGTAATAATTTCGTTAATTCAGTACCGTAGAACATTGCGGATCAATTGTGTTTTTACTTCGGGATTCGTATCGGTTCGGCTACGCGTCACTCAAGTGCGAGTTGGTTGACGTACAGTACTCAAATCGGAATCAAACGAGAAAACTATTTCAAAGACGTACAGGGTCCTTCAGCCCACCTCGCAGGTCTCTAGGGACCTGGTACGCCGTGGGCGAGCTAAGTCCACCCTTCCCTCGGCTCAATGTTCCAAGTCCAAACCCTCAAAATTGATTATGGACGGGTATTGCTGGCTCCATAAAACTTATGGGCCAGGTGCCCGCAGATGTAAGCCCCATTGCACTTTTGTCGCGGGAAACGCCACCACCGGCGAGTAACTGCGGCCGTACTCGCCGGCCCACCCACCTCCCTCCAGGTTGGCCGCCTATTTTACGTGCAAGATTACTATACACGCACTAGGTTCCTCGTTGACACGGGAGGCCAAATTTCTGTCGCATCTGTCGGTAGCAGCGAGCCTCGTGCTTCACAACTTCGGTTGTGCGCTGCGAATGGCACCTCCATTCTTACTGACGGTGCACGACGACTAGTGGTTAACCTGGGGTCTTGATGACGGTATCCGTGGACGTTCATTCTCGCGGACGTTCCTATAGGTATCCGCGGTATTTCTTTAGTCTTATGAGTTACTCGTTGACTCACGTAGACTGCGGTTGATTAATACTTCGTCGAACATTAAATTCACGGGCCCCAGAACTCGCACAGACGTTCACCGAATCACAGGTATCTTACCTGATTCACTCGACTCGTTCCACTCGTTAATGAAACGCTTCCCCATTTGAATAAACCGATAGAGGAGATCAACCTAGTGACAAATCGTGGGGCTCACCACAGTTATCAAAGGACCTACAGTTACGGCACGACATCACCGACTGGTACCGAACAAATTAGCTTTTGCTAAGCGTAAGTTCAGCACTGCTCACAAAAATCAGTGTGTGCGGTCGTTAAATTTGTGTGCTCTCGGTTTCAGTGAATTTTCTGTGTCAAAACTCGTCGTACAACGTCGAGTCAGCACTCATTCGACTCATTTCGGTGAGCCACATTGATTGATATCACTCCCTTGGATATATACCCTACGTGTTTCACGTTTCCACCGTTCGGCTCTTCGGAGCAAATTCTCCATCTTATTCAAGCGTGTAAACCTGTTCTAAGTTCCATACATTAGCCTCATTGTGCTATCAGTTTTAAGGAAATTCTACGTTCTATTCAACAAGATTCTATTCAGCTGTCTGATCATTTCTAAGAGCTACGGGTATAATTTGTGTTATTCAATTCTGTTCGGTTCCCCATCGCGTCTGTACCTGTGTCCTTCCCTCCATCTCCAGTCGCAACGATCAATAGGCACCGGGTGCCCCCGACCAATATTCACCTCGTTGGTCATGGTACGCTGACTTTCACTTTGCTCCACGCTTACTTCCCTGTACGATTCTCTATCCGTTCTCCAGCTCATTTCAATACAACCGTTGTTGAGGTTTCGTGATATCAGTCGTTCTATTTTGGTTCGTTACTTTATCTGTTGCTAGACGTACGAATTTGCAGACATCATTACTATAGAGACTTAACTCCGATTTTTCTTTCTGCTGTCAGCTATACCGGGGCCTAAAACGACTGACTCAATTCTAAATCTTGGAAAAAAAATAAGTTCAAATTCAGTGATTCGATTGAGCGTAAATCTGAGACTCCAGGGCGGTTTTAGTAGGCAGAATCCATAGTGTTGTGAAGCTAAGCTGAACTGCGGATGAAATTATTGTTATTCAGAGACATAAATGAATGAATATCACGAATATTCATCACATATTCGTTCATTTTTACCATTCAGTATTTGTCGGTATGGTCCTTTTGTTGGCATTTACACACTCAGGTTTTACCTGTTTAGGGCTCACTAGCGTAGTTTAGACCTCCGTGTCCAGGTTGGCTATTTCGAATTTGTTGAGCACTAAAGTGTTGTCCGATCATCGCAACTAAATCGAAGTAACCTTTATGCTTGCATTGTTCACCGCTGCGGACCTATATAAAATGATGCCCCTGTTATGCACGTTGCTCAAAGCAATAGATTCGGACGGTAGGACTCCTCACGCATCGTATCCCCACTTACGTAGCACTGCAATAAACTTTCACCACTCCAGATAGAGCTGGGTCTGTATTCCTCAAATGCAAACATCCGACCGTAGCCCTGCTACCAAATGGGACAGTTTTATGTCCCATTATAGTCACATTAGTCCCTTTACAACGATAGAAATAATCACCTTCCATTTAGAGTCCTTATGGGACGAAAGATTGATCCATCGTCCCTTTATAGTTCTATTAGGGTCCGAGCGGGACTCTTATTTTTACAGTCCTGTCAAAGTTCTATTGGAGTCCTGGAGGTACTGTTCAGAAAACTGCAGTTTTCTAAACATACTTGTATGTCCAATCGTATTTCAAGACATGAGACTGTGTTTTCTTTCCCATAATTCTTAGATAGAGGTGTGTAATAAAATCCATTTAATATAATTAGTACAGGAAAACTTACTGAAAACCGTGCACAAAAATGAAATGTTATGTAAATTTTGTTTAACTGCATCAATTACATTTTATTCTGTTAGCGCGGCGTTGTGCATATGCGCTCATGTGACGTGCAGTCGTAGTGCGGCTATTTTGATTTGACTGTGAGTCATGTGTGTCTCATTGAACCTTTGGTTCATGTTGGGGCGCACGTTACCATCCGGCACCCCCCCCCCCAATTGTTTGCTTAATTTTGGGTCACTAGAGAAGCGGATACTGTAAAATGTTTTGGATATTTTTTAGACAGTTTTAATGTATAAAATATTTTTCTGTTTGTTGAGACACGAAAGTCCATTTTTACATGGTTTGTTTTAAATTGTGACCTTAAAACATGTTGGACGGGTCTAAAATGTAGGGGATGCTACACCGTATTCAAAGAGAGGTGTGTGCGGGGTATATTCAGGAACGTCATTCATTGCCGCTAACACTTGTGAATGTTGTCGTACAATGAATATGCGGGAGTCCTCCCGCAGCCCGGATCACTTTGTTCCCTAGCTTACAGACATATATGTGTCCACCACACAGACGGTTTCGTCAACTTCATACCTCGTGTTCAAACTAATAAAGTTGAGTCCTACTTGGAACTATATCAAAAGACGCTTGAAAAACGCTACTGGATCGGTCTGAAATGTGATATGAGAACATCTAGATGAAGTGCGGTACCGAAAGTGGTTTAGTTTTTCTATACAGACGTTTAAAAATGACTTTGATATTTAGTTGCAACATCTTGCGCAATTGTATCCATGTTGAATTCCATTTACTATTTATTAGATTATTTTTTATTTATTTCTGTGCTTCAATTTCCTGGGGAAATGTTTCACTACTTATGAGCAGTATTTTTATTTTTACGAAAATCGCCGAGGGGGGTGCCGGATGGTAACGTGAGCCCATGTTGGTTTGGTTTCCTTATCTTGCAGATTTATCGTAAAGGCACTCTGGAATACCACGAGCATTGTTTCCCAGTGATCCCCTAGGGAGCACAGGAGATTGATCGTGTTAGGATTGTCTACAAATCCCGCGGGTCTTCGCGCTGGGCTATCAGAAGACGTGTTCTCGCCTGGGTGGCAGCCGAATGCGAAGCCCAACTAAAAAATGTTCGTGATACATTAAGTTGTAAGTCTAGTGAAAAAGTTTTATGTAATAATATTATAATTTGCAGCAAATTATGATGCCTTGTACGCGCATGCCGATGCATTGACTACCATCAATCTCCAAGGTGGAACTGCTGATAACGAAGAATCAGAAATTAGTTCCAATGGACTACAAGGTTTTGTATTCTAATTTTTTGTATATCTTTGCCATTCCGACACTTTAAAGATAAGTTGGATGGTGTAGGCATCGGCCTATCGATACCCCGAGCTAATAGGTATATGTTGAAAACGGACATTCGTAAGGAAACAGAACGAGACGATTCACGAAACAGAGAACGGGTTATATTGTTACGACCTACAGAGCAAAAGGGAGATACGGAAGCGTGATCAAGCTTGCGGAAAGTGAAGCCAGCACGTGCTGACCAAAGAGACGGCTTTGGTGTGTTAAAACAATGAAATACACAGGAGGAAGGGTACATGTAGTATGGGAGTTGGTTGATTACTACAATGGTGTTTCACTGATTTCAAATAAAGCGTCCCCTCCTGCAGCGATAGCACGAAGGGTTGCCATTAAATAAAATCTGAATGTGCATAGTATAAACATTATGCTACAAGAATAGGTTCTTTACATAATGGGTTGCCGAAAGACAGTGGAACACTGTTGTAGTTCTGAAGCTAACCGGAGTTGACTAACTGCCGGTAAGTCTTCTTACGAGTCTCAAAATGCGCGCGACCACCTAGTGTCTCATTGCCCGAGGTAGACAAAAATACTCGTGGGAGTCGTAAACGTTTATCGGCGAATCGTGGTACTAGATAGTACCGAAACGTGCCGAGGTGACGCTAAACAATGCAAGCAATAAATGCAGTAGCAAAGCGAAAGCGTGTCATATGCGTTGCGTGGGTTTGAGCAAGACCCAGCTTATATATACACCTGNGAAGAAATGCATCTTTCAAGTCTAGACTAGAGAAAAATTTGGATCCATGAAGTTGGTGCAGAATGTTTTCTGGTTCGACGGTGGCACAACAGGACTGTTTCAGGTGTCTGTTCACAGTAATTCGATAATCCCCACATATCCTAGGAGTCTTCCCGTCGCGTTTAGTGGAGTAACAATTGGCGTGACCCAAGCCGACGAATTTACGGATGTCAGAACTCTCTTGCTTACCGTTTCATCCAACGCCTTTTTACGGGCTCACGAAGTCCAAGTGGGATAATCCGACGTTTCATAAACACCGCATAACCGGTCACGTCGTGACTTACAGGAGTCATTTTGATACCACCCTTTGCCTATGAACATTCAAGTATTAAGTGACGCAGGCGTGATTGATGGGAGTCAGACATGAATGAAAATGACAGATGCATACGATTCAAACCAATTATCGAAATGTCGGAATCAATAATCAAAACCGGGCAGTGAAATGTTTGTGATTTATTGTCTTTAAGAAACAGTTCGCATGATCCTAAGACGGGCAAATATGACCGGTAATTCCATTAACTGAAACGTCTGTTGGGTAAAGTGCAACTGGGGGGTTTAACTGACGAAATACCTTGTTGGAAATGAAAGGACCAACACTGCCGGTGTCCATAATGAATGTGTGGCGAATGAAGTCATTTGTGATGAAGTCGCGAGTAATATGGCGAGATGGACGTGAACTGGTACTGGCTAGAGTTAAGGACTGTAAATCACACAATAAATCTTTAGAGGAATGGACAGTCGTACGTTTGGTAAGACATGGCATTTTACATTCATCATGTGTATATATTTCTTTGCTCTAAATCTGGGATGGCATCCGTTAAGGTGTCACATTCCCCCATCTCTGCCAAATGCTGTCATTTTACGTGCGCTGATCACTCTGTGGTTATCCCCATTATACATAATTTCGATACATTTGTTCAATTAACCTGTTTCTTTATTTCCTCTTCTTTTTAATTATATTTATTTATATTTACATAGCCAATACAATTACCGATATATTCGTTTTGTTGTTTGTTGGGGTCAGCGATCTAGATCCTTGACCCTAAAGTCTTTGCTTAGCGTGAGTTGACTCTTGTTTAGAGTTCACTCTCTTCCTATTCATTGCTTATCTGTTTTTAACTGATGAAGTGCCTAAGTTTTCCCGAGGTTCTCTTACCTACTCGACCCTGTACGATTCCCATGCAGCATGAACCGTTGTGATTTTATTGGTCCCATCTGGCGTGTTCATTGACTTTGTTTGCATTTGACTGGCACAAACACACGGCTACGTGATTGTCCAGCCCCCCAATCAAACCATACAAAGTTTATTGCGGGACGATATCTTGGCAATTGGGACAGATTACCCATTGCTATCTTTTTGTGTATCGAATAAGAATCGTGCAATGCGCAAACGCTGTCTTCTCTTTTAAACAATTTGTAAATTGGAACCATTTGGTTTGGTTATGATCCCACGATCGGTTAAATTCCAAGTATTTATATACCTGGTTTGATTTCTGTACTCCCGAAAAGAGCTACACAATTCGGAACAAGGCGGACATTGATGTCTTAGACATGCATCTCTCTCTCCGTGATCGCCCTTGATAAAGTGCGGTGACTAGGGAGATGGTTTGGCTTCGATCATAACTTTGCCAGGTGAAAACATCACAACATCACAACCATGACCGATAAGGATGACAGATGGTTTTTAAAATACCTGATCAATGAAAAATTCAAATTGCAGATTATGCGTGAAAGACGAATCGGCCCACGGAGAACTCGCAGTTGCAAATGTATGGATACACCTACACGCGTTCCTCACACACACAATGCGTCAGAAGTATTTGCCTGATGAAGCTTATCACTAGGCACCAGATCAGTTCAGATATTTCGCACGGCTTACTCACCGTCGGGCACACAATACAATTGCAACAACTTTCTACCAACGAATGTGTAGAAACAGATGAGACAGGAAATATTTGATCCCCCACATCTTGGAATGGGGGCGGGAGGGAGGCAAGTACACAAAGAGCGGAAAGTTTTGTCATACAAAAAAACCCCAGAAAGAAATGGCAGTATAGTGAGTGGGATGAAGCACAAATCTGGCAATCGAGCGAGAAATAATTGGTTGGCATGCGGCGCCTGGGATATTCAAAGCTTTCGCGCGAATTTGACACACACGAACCGGCACCACACTATGGATGATAATGATGATTGTGACTTTGAGTTGAGAAAGAAAAAATAATCAACAAAAGGTCAGAATGACAATAATCTTGAGACTCGATGGGGGACCGGAAGGAAAACAGATGCCCAGAAGCGACCAAAATAGTCCGGTCAAGATTTTGAATTGGGAGATCAGCGATTCACTGGTTTGGAGAATACTTCGATTCTTGGCAGACGTTCATAGAACAGGATATAGGCAGCGCTACTCTGGAATCGAGGGGAAGAAACGGGTACAAAGGAGTCGGAAACAGAACAGACAAAAGCGCAGGAAAAATCAATCAGAAACGAGGCAGGGAATTAAGCAATCATAATTATAACTTTAACATGTTTTAGCTCAGCTCCTTGACCCTTTGGTTTCAATGCGAGTGCAAATAATTGTTTTTGGTTTCAAACATCGCAAAGTTGACAAACAGAGACAATACATCGGAAAAGTTCCGATCGATTTTTAAAATGGTTCGAAATATTTGTCCATCATCATCACGCCTTAATGGTCGTGGAAACTGTGGCTCGCTTGCCAAGTAATCCGCTCATTATTAGGGACAGAAATGTAGATTGGCAACTTCTCAAAGTCTCCTGATTTTTTTGATGGTGGAAGTCATGGTTCACGAAGCCAAACGTACCGAAAGAATCACCGAGCACGCTGACGATTGCCGACAGCTAAATACCTGTTGTTGCCCTACACGACCATTGAACCAATAGCGTTCTTGCCACATGCGATGAACAACCGAACTGGGGGTAGTCTAGCATAGCCTCGAACATGTGAACGACTAATAGAATTCCGGTTTACGGACAACGTCATTGTTGATGCTTCAATGGGAGGTTCATTGGGTCCCATACTGGTACAGCTGCTTAGGACACACATCCGGGGAAAAGATGGCAATATTCTCGGA